ACCACCATCAGCAATTTTTGCTGCATTTCTGCAGAATGCACATAACTGCTCCAAATGACACTTCTAAAAGGATGAAGAGCAACCACGGATAAAGACTGTTCATACATGTGGTATTATGATACACCCTTAGCAGTCTTGCATAAAGAGTTATTAAGCAGAAAATATGACAGCCTACAACATTCTAATATCTTTTGCATGGGACACTTGGCTCTTTATTCGTTAAATAGTCAAATCACTTTAAGCTGCAGCCTAGACTTATGACACTGACTACAGGAGTAGCCATGGAGCCTGAAGTTATCTGAGAAAATTAGGCTGATCCGAAAACATGAAGGTTCCAACTTCAAGACAAATTATTTGATCAATGATGTCTCAAAAATAAATTTAATTTGTAAGCAAATACAGAAACTGTAAGATCACTTAAGGGGTCACAGTGTGTAGTCCGTATGTGCAGGAACCAATTTATGCAGCATGATGGCTGCTTCAGTTTATATGATAAACCAGTTGACAGCACTAAGATCTTTACTACTGCATGCAAGGCTAGTCCAGGCTAAAAAAGTAAATGCTGTACACATAAAATTTTGCATCATGAAGAAGAGAGGATTATGCAACATACATGAATAATCTATCCTATGAAAATCTGCACTGTCTATTATTTTGCAGAATTTGTTCTGGTTTTCAAAGTCAGAAAGAAAACCTGAGCTTTGCCTTAAGTATGTAGTGTTGTTTATGTCTCCTTCCGTTTATGGAGTTCAACAGAAAACATCATGCACATATTTTCAAGCCCTTATCTGCAACCATAAGGGCTGAAATCCCTTTAAATGTTGTACTCTCTTGCACACAAACCTTAAACAACTGAGATCTTGGAAAGGATAAGCGTTTCTTCAGCTTATGTGATGAAATTATATATGAACTGGTAGGAAGCAGACAGGGACACTGAGATGGTTCCTGTGTAATGGTAAACCCCGTACCAGCACTACATGGATGAACCTGAACAAAGATGCCTCTCAAAAGGACTTCAGCCAAGTTTAATGTCACTTATTACAAAAGCTGGCTTGTCTTTATGCATGAGCCAGTAATTTGTGAGTTAAAAGAGAGTTTGCCCAGTTTCTTGCACAAGACAATTTTAATTAATGGATGTTGTAGTTAGCTTGTTTAACAAACTGGAATCTTCTATAAACCAGTGGTGGATATGACCCCCAGCCCTTCTCTATCCCTCTTATTTTCCAGAAAACTAGGGGAAGTAAATCACAGGAAAGGAAATTCAGGTTTTAAATACATTACAAGGTCTTTCTGGTCTGCTTAATAACTCTAAATACCTGTTATCCAAAATGAGAAATAGATTTCTAGCTACTTCCAATTTCATTTTTTTGCAATTTTCAACAAATCAGGTCCCTGGGTCTGCCAACATTGGCCAGCCAGCACTGTTTTAAGCCACAGTCTCTGGTTCGTGTACAAAAAACTAGCTTTTGTGGAATCCAAAGTCAATTCCTCTAAAGTTCTTTTCCCAGGAATGCAGGAGGATCAATTCACAAGCCCAAGACTTTGCTCATCCATTTCATGTTAATTATTCCATTATGGCCTTCTGCTGGCAGAACACTTCTTGCAAAATTTATGCAAAGTTTTTAATGATCCTTCCTCTGACATATTCCATCCTCTCAAAGACTATGTGAGGGAGATGGAATTAAGACATTGTGACTGGCTGACAGTCATTTAACAAGCTAAGTAATTGAGCAGAAACTGGAACCTGGATCTTGCTGATCTTAAGCTAACATTATGTCTTATAAAATGAGGATTATAGCCCTGAACTGAACAAGGGAAATTCTTGATTTTTGGGACTGAAGTCAAAGGAGAACACAATGGCCAAAATCCTACTGGTGCTTGCAGAAGATCTGCTTAATCTGTTGCAGCTACTTACAACTAACTGATCAGATTCTGGGGTCTGTCTTGGTTGCATGCCCAGTCATGCCCCTGACTGTGCAACCAAGGTATGCCCAATGATCTTGCCAATTAGCCATAGCATGTTTCACAAACCTTATGTTAACAGCAACAAGATTCTAGCCAGTGTGTCTGGAAGGGGAGATGATGGCGGCGGTGGCGACGGACGGACCTGGACAGGAATTCTGTTAAAGACCTATTCACAACCGCACACTAATAAGGACTAGCAACTAGTAACTATGCCCTTCTGCATGTCCTCCTTGTGAAGGGAATACAATAAGACTATAAGCAGAATTAGGTTGCACCTTACCACATGTAGACTGGAGAGTCCCCCCTTTAATGAGTAAGACATGTTTTCATGCACAGATGTTTTTATCAGGAGTATAATATCTGCTCTGTCCTCTTCCACTATATTTTGCTCCATACTATGGTTTCATTACTGTACTGTTATAAGCTTCCCTGAATGGGGGATACGCATTAGAAAATTGGAACAGAAATTCTCTTGTCTAGTTCTTAAGGAGCTTGGAAGGCCTGGGTTTCAAATAATCATGTGCTTTTCTCATCTGAGATATGTTTATATCATTAACAGTTGAAGGAAATGCAGTGAATGGGATGCCCAGGATGTAAATTCTTAACTGGAAAGGGAAGCTAAGGTTATCAGGAGATTAGGGTTATTTTAAAAATCTGAAATATAGCTTGTCCAAATGAATTTTTAAACTGCAATTCAGGAAGCAACATGTACGCTGCTGAATAGTACAGGGATCTGAGGACATGCTTCCCCCTTTGTACTATTTGGGTTTTTTTTGTCGTATTGTTCAACTTAGTAATGTTTTTTTTTGTGTGATACTACAAGTTCAGCCCTGTTTTCAACTAAGAACGGCATTAATTTTTCTCCTGGCATCTAAACTATAAGTCCCTTCATACTGCTTTCTATTCTGGTACATGTAGCTCTTTACCAAATCAGTATCAATAGTGAATGTAAACAATATGTAATTTCCTATTTGACTTTTGCAGTATTACAAGACTTTAAGAATAGATAAGAAGTTTCTGTAAAGATTCTGGGTGGAAAAGAACTAACAAAGTCACAATAATTGCATTAAGCCACCTAAAGCTTAGTTATAGAAAATGATGCATCAGCCAACCAATGAAATGGATAATGCACAGCTCAACAACACTGGGGCAGATATCTGAGATTTATTTTTCAATTGGTCTTATTAATTGGTTTCTTTATCTGACTATCTGTACATGGTAAGATTTACAACTTTTCTAAAACTACAGCTGGGGCATGTGGAAACAATTGGTAATTTTTATTTGCCTGTGGTATTCAGAGAGAAAGAGAAAGCTGTACCATGACTGAGCATCACCAGAGGGAAAGATTAGTAAACCACTTCTGAATAGGTTCAGCCTAGAAAAACCTTTTAATGGTTGCCTTAAATGGGAGACAACTTGGTAGTGTATATAAATTACTGTAGAATTCAAGGTTCCCTCTAAGGTGCATACCCACATGCACACCCATGACTCCATCTCTCTCTGTGCAGCTTTCCTCCTCCACGCAGCATTTCTTTTCATCCTTTTTGGTTCAGGTCATGACAGAACGCCATGTGTGCATGCAGAGGTGAAGTTTTATTTAATTTATCCATGAAAACTGCAATCCTACACCTGGTAGTTCACGATTCATTTCAATTTTACCATGACACAGTCATGCATGCTTTTCAAAAAGGCATGACTAAATCAAAAGGACCTACTTTGAAGCAGGTGCAATACAGAATGAAGCAGTGATATGTTGGCCAGTGTATTCTATTAAATTCTATTCCCAGTGTATTCTATTAAATACTGAAAAGCAGCATCTGATGCTTATACAGTGGTGCCTCGCTTAATTATTGCCCCGCATTACGAGGAAATTGCTGTACGACAATCTTTAAACAATTGTCTAAATAGGTTTTTTTGCTTTGCGATGATCGGTTCTCTGCTTCGGGAACAGATTCTTCGCAAAACAATGTTTTTTTAAACAGCTGATTGGCAGTTTCAAAATGGCCACCGGGTGCGTAAAATGGCTCCCTGCTGTGTTTAGGGACGGATTCCTCGCTATACCGGCAGCGAAAATGGCCGCCGTATGGAGGATCTTCGCTGGACAATGAGTTTTTACCCCACTGGAATGCACTGAATGGGTTTCAATGCGTTTCAATGGGGTTTTTAATTTTGTTTTACAATGTTTTCGCTTAATGGCAATTTTCCTGGAACGGATTATCGTCGTTAAGCGAGGCACCACTGTATGCTCGTAAAGCAGCCTCATATTGCTAAAAAGGGTTTTTTCTCCTAACAGTGAGCTCATTAACCTAGTGCAGCAAGTCTACAACCTTAGGCATGTGTACTTAAGAGTAAAGGCCTCTTAAATTCAACAGGGCTATTTCTGAGCATGGTTTGAGCTGTAAGCGTTTAGATTTGAATCCTTGTCACCTGAGAAAACCTGGTTGACAATTACTTAAAATTAAAATAATGAACAAAGGCATAATGAAAATCATGGAGGGAAACAAGTTTCACGACCATTTTCAATGGGCTGGCATGTGGGCTATCTCTCACTGACTTGCTTCACTGAAACACTGAACTACTGCAGATAAGGCCAACCAAACCAGAACATCCAATTGTGAGCATTGACATTCTGCATTATATTGCTCCCAATGGAGTCCATGTCCAAATGTGCATTTCAGTGCACATTCCAGATCAGAGAAGGAAGGCAATGAATTCTTATGTTACCATGCAGCAATTACCTATTGATATCAAGAGGCTCCTGTGTAATGGACATAATCTTCAATTGTTCTCAATTTGTTACATCAATGTAATGAGATTTTTACCCCAAACCTTGCAGCTTTATTTTACACCTAACAAGAGTTTTGGTTGAGTGCTGGCAGTGCAACTATTACCAATTCCTTTTGTTGTGATAAAGCCAAGTTCATATCAAATGGATAATCTACATTGTTGAGAGTGTATGAATTGCTGCAAGTACTCTTCTTGCTGCACTCTTAGCCATCCAATCTGTTTCAGGTCCAACTGAAAGGGAATCTTACCCTTAAGTCAATCACTCTGTTGTCCAATCTTGTATCCTGGTTTACAGTAGCTCTTCCTTCCTGAACAGTTGTAAAAGAAAACACAATGAAGAAAAAAAACCAACTACAGAGAAGGGAAAACAAGATGCTTGTTTTGTTGCATAAGAAAACTTTAGAATTTCTAGCACATTCAGAGGAAACTTCACAAGCTGCCCACACCAAAGAGTTTTGGTGATGGAGGCACAGACACCTGCTAAGGGTCTAGAACAGCTTGTCTGAGTGGCTTGGCTGCAACGAGAGACGGCGGCTGTGTGGTCTCTGTATCATGTTGCCTTCACTAAGAGCATTTCTGAACAGAATTTCCTGTGCTTCTGGTTTGATGCTTAAGTATTGTAATAAAGTACAAAGTTAAAAAAAAAGTGGCAGCACAGACTGAATCTATCATCATCCTTGTTTAGAAATGGAGTCAGGACAGGCAAAACTCTTTGCAGCCTACATGATTAGGATCTCATAATATATGCAAACACACTGGTATTTGTTCTGAGAGCAATGGCAAAACTATCTGCATAGACCAGTGATGGGAACATGTAGCCCTCTGAATATTGCTGGGCTGCAAAATCCATTAATCTATTAATGGTAAAGGATGATGAAATCACTGTCCAGCAATACCTAAAGGGCACATTTCCATCCCTAGCTTATATTCTCCCCTTCTTCCCCCAATCTTTTAGAATGTTTCTGGCCAGTATTTCTGCCATTCCCCACTTTAAAAAACAGGAAGCTAAATCTAGCAGCTGAAATCAGCACATCTCATATAATTGATGTGGTAATCAAGTTATGCTCGGGAAGAATCCACTCTCAGGAAACAGAAATTTGGAACCTTGGACATTAAATTTTCATAAAGCACTTATAACATTTAAGGTATCCTCTCCTTTTGGCAAGCCAATTAATCTTCACAGATTAACAATGAATACAGATTACCTTTAAAGTCCTACATGCCTTGGGATCCATATACTTTACTGGACTGCCCCTACCCATATGAGCCCCCATGACAACTAAGGTAATCTGGAACTGTCAACCATTAAAGCAGTGCGGACTGAGTTTATTCAAAAAAAAGAGAGAAAGAGAGAGAGAGAGATCCTGTGTTGTTGCCCCCCATGCTCTGGAATTATCTTCCCGAGTCCCTGTAATGTATAATATCCGTGTGGAGATTCAGGAATGGATGTAAAGCAGAGTTGGTTTGGTGGGCTTTGAGAAGCTAGGAACTGCTATTCCACCACTTACGTGGCACACATGTTTACTTGTTAATGCGTAAGATGGGTTTATTGTACTTTATTATTTATATGGAGTATTTTATTGTTATATGTTTTGTTTTTGTGTTGTGTGCCATCCAGAGTCTCTTCAGAGAAGAATGGCATATAAATGAAAGTAATAACAAGGATAATAAATAAATGTTATCTGAACTCTATTCAGGTCTTTTCCTCTCATAAAGGAACTGATTATAGTTGTCAAATCACACAAAATCCCCTTATGAACAAAAGACAAGCAACCACACTTCTTTTAATTATCACTGCATAAAATCTTGGAATCCCAGTTATTACTTTAAGTAGCCCTCCATATGTTTGCTAGCACTAGTAAAAATTTACTTTCTGCAACTGTGCACTGAATAGCATGGACAAGACAGCATGTAATGGAGACCTGAGTAAGAATTAAATAATAAAACTGTAAATAGTTTTACAGTAAATAGCTAGTATTAAAAGTTTCTGCATAACCATTTACTTCAACTCTCTCTCTCATGTCAAAAACAATGTTTCACCTCTTCTCCTTCCACTTCTGGTCGAATAGCATCATCCAGCTGCAATGGCAGTCGAGGTTCAGCCAGACTAATCACATATATCTGAAAGCAGCACATTAGAAGGGAAGAAAAGCATAAATGTACTATAGAAACTGCAGTGTGATTTACAGATACATATTTTTGGCCAAAATGTGAAACAAGGTTTGCATAATCGTTTACTGGAAGAATAGAGACTAAGTAAGAAAAAAGCAGGGAAACACATTTCTGTGTCTTTATTTTCATGGCAATAACAGAAACATTTAACGTAAAAGCTGCCTATTTGAAAGTCACATTCTCTAAACTGTATCATGGGAAGATATTATTTCATGGCACACCATAAGGACTTAAGTACCGGTCCTGAAATAACTGCCCTTTCTGAACATTCAAATTCTGATCCCAATAACATTGCTACAACAATTTCATTATCCACAAATACACTGTCAGAAGTCAAATGTAATAACAGTGGTAAAGAGGCATGTGCTATCACGGAAAGGTATTAAACCACTAGCACTTAGAAAAAGATAATATACAAACATGAACTAAAATACTGTACTAAAAGCATTAAGTTAACAAAGTAAGATAGAGGAGGAAAACAGGCAGAGAAAGCACAAGTGTGTTTGCTTCCCAGACTCTAAAACTGTTAGAACCAAGTGTACTGTGAGGCTATGCATAGGAAGCCAGTCTTTAGTAGGCTGTGGTATCCATCTATATTCTGGGGGAACTGTGAACAAAGAAAAGTACGTATATCTGTCTGCATATTTTGCTGTGGACAGAAACAGATTTCAACTACAATCTAAAATGAAACATTTCAAGAACAGCTGGAAACAAATCTCTCTTATATGCAAATAAAATAGGTCCATGTTACCTTAGCTTCTATTTCAATTAAATTTGCTACATAAATCAATTTATGCTTGTTACATGCTGTTATAAAGGTAAAGGTAAGTGCTCACCAAAGAGGGCTGCACTTAAGTGAAGTACCCATGCAAATCCTGACATTAACATGAAACAATGATCAATGTGTGCTGGAATTTGCTCACAAAGTATTACCCTTTGAATGTGCAGTTCAACATCTTGCTGAGTGCAGCCTGCAATTTTATGTGGCACTTTCCTTACAACACCTTCAATGTCAACAATACTCTCCTTGTTGATGCTGTAAATGAAAAAAAAATTAGTCTCAGTTTGATAATTGCATCACAGTGGAGAATCTTGATTTGTGTTTTAGGTGGCCATGATGATAACCATAAAATTGAACTTTTCAAAATCTAAAGTTGCACCACCACAATAGAAGAGAGCTCTTTAGGTAAATAGAATAACTGCTTGGCAAAATTCTTTCTCATCTGAGATAAACTACCAACAGCATTGAAGGCTAAAAATAAGAGGGAAATAAAAAGGTATCTTCATCATTTTAGATTCCATCATTACACCATCTGTCTGGGACACATTAGTAGTCTATTTGCAAATGAGCAAGACAACCATTCTATCAGAAAGTAAAATGCATTTTTTTACAATGTGCTCTTTAAGGTAAGGTGCAGAGACAGATAGAACAACAAAGTGAACTTTAAGTACTATCTCTTCATTTTACCTGCAGTTCAAGCATAAAAAGCAATAATGAAAAATGCTTGGATGTATTTTCTTAGAATAATAACTGATCCTATAATTATCGTCAGGGTGGGTGCAGAAGGCATTCTTTATTTAAAAAGGTCAGGACCACTATTTTTAAAAATGATCTAAGGAAAATGTTACCACTGTGTTGAAATCTGATAGCAATCACAGCATCTCACAGACCAACTCCTTATCATATTGTTCAGACCATTACATTTCTATAGCCCTTTCTAATGTAAAAGAGCATTTTACAATTCTGTCCATCAACAGGTACTGGCTGAAGACCAAGAGAGAGTGTTCATCAATTTACTTTATGAACTTCATAGTTATGCAAAGATCTGACCCCATGCTGCCATGCCCCAAACCTCAACTATCCACAGCCATGTGTGTTGTGCTTCTGAACTACTGTATGAGCTTCCACATATGTTGATTTGGAACCAGATTCTGTAAAGATGGACAATACACCTGGATGTCCCCCAAAGTCTCCACTGAGTCAGAGGATTTGGAGAAACTGGGCAGAGATGCTGCAGAATTAAGGCAAATTTTGCTGAGAAAAAACACACAAAAATACTGTACAATTTAATGAATGTCAGGTGTAGGTTATACTGGTTACTATCTGTGCCCACCTTTTGAATGGCAAGCCTATCATTGGAAATTGTACTCCAGGAAAGTATCTGTGCTCAAGTGGTTTATAATAATGGTGCCTGGATTTAAAAAAAAAAATTAAAAATTCAACAACGTTCTAAAATTAACATATGGCATAAAGAGGACATCAGGACATCAGTGGTCAAAGGACCTTGGAAAGAGCAAAGTATTTTGCTCTGCTTGTTTGCAATGCCTATTTGGTAAATTACTTCTCTTTCTAAATGCCGTCAAGGACCAGTCAATTTGGAAAGGGCTCTTCAGCACAGTTGTCCTTGTACAATCTTGACAGGATTTGAGTCTCACACAATGAGACATGCAAGACTCAAAATGGGTATTAGGTCAATACCAGCCAAGTGGAAGACACTACAACGCCTGTGCTGTAAGATGCATATATTCTTTCCTTATATGAAAAAAAAAAACAACCTCCATTCTAATGGAAAAAAATATGAAACTATTTGGCAGCTGATTGGCGGTTTCAAAATGGCCGCCGGGTAAACAAAATGGCCGCCCACTGTTTTCTGGGATGGATTCCTCGCTGCACAGGCAGCGAAAATGGCCGCGCTATGGAGGATCTTCGTTGGACGGTGAGTTTCAAGGCCCTAGGAATGCATTAATCGGGTTTTAATGCGTTTCTACGGGCTTTTTAAAATTGCATTACGACGTTTTCATTTTACAGCGATTTTGCTGCAACGAATTAACGTCGTAATGCGAAGCAACACTGTACAATAAAAGAAGTTGCTTTACCCAATAACAATGAAATGTTTCTTACATTAAACAATGGAATGTGTTCAGGAGATATTCTAAGAACAGACTCAGAACATGCTACCTGAAGGATTCTGGGAACGACAGTTGAAACAAAACAAAACAAATTTTAAAAATCTGGGCTTTCAAGACAATTGAACCAAACAAAGAACCATCATGAGATTCAAAGAAAGCATTCCTGCTTTGTAAATCTATCACAAATTGGTACATCATGAACTTTCAGGTAAAAATAAAATAAGGCAGAAAAAGACAAATCCTGGCCAAGAACCAAAGTGGACTAAAGAACCAGGTGGACTAAAACAAGATCACAACTGTTGCCACCATCATTACAATAACAAGAAAAATAATAAAAATTTTCTCTGATTTCAAAGAGAAAATTAGGAATCACCCTGTTTGTATCACAGAAAGAGAAAGAGACAGAGAGAGATTCAGGGATGGTCCAATTGCCCACAAAGCATTTTAAGAGAAAAGGAAAAAAGAAGATACAAACAAAGAATCAGAAATTTCACTGACTGGAACTCACTTCTGAATAGACATATGTTACAATCTTGTCTGCAGCGACAGCATCAGTGACCCCCACCCCCCCAAACAGATAAGACTTTCACTAGCATAGAAACACCACATTGTGCTCTTCCTACCACAGAAAAAACATCCTAGACAATTATGCCATTCTTATAGGAAACAGTAATACAGTGGTGCCTCGCTTAACGATGTTAATTGGTTCCAAAAAATCCATTGCTATGGGAAAACATCGTTAAGCGAAACACCATTTCCAATAGGAATGCATTGAAAACCGGTTAATCCGTTCCAATGGGAACGGATTACCGTCCTTAAGCGAAAATCCCCATAGGAAACATCACTAAGTGAAACAATGTTTCCCCCAACGGAAAGCCATTCAAAAGCATTGCAGCCGGCTGCAATGCTTTTGAATGGCTTTCTGATCTCCGTTTTCGCTCATTTTTAAGTGTCTTAAAATGTTTGAAACCTGTTTTAAATGCTTGGAATCGGTAGTCCCCCTTGTGAAACATATGCAAACTTAATTTGGCTCTGTTCTGAGTCTTCGTTAATTTTTGGTGATTTTTTCTTTTTCCCCTTTAAATCCATTGAACTGTCCATTCAATGCATTTAAAGGGGGAAAACAAAAAATCACCAAAAATTAACGAAGACTCAGAACAGAGCCAAATTAAGTTTGCATATGTTTCACAAGGGGGACTACCGATTCCAAGCATTTAAAACAGGTTTCAAACATTTTAAGACACTTAAAAATGAGCGAAAACGGAGATCAGAAAGCCATTCAAAAGCATTGCAGCCGGCTGCAATGCTTTTGAATGGCTTTCTGATGTAACACTCAGTGACCATGATTTTATGTCTATTTATGTTAGAAATCCCAGTCAGATAAAAGCCACATTATACAATCTTACTCTTCAGCCATGCTACTATGCATAGCCCATTTGCTCCTCCCAGCCTAGAAGCAAGAAAACAAACCATGGAAAAAACAACTTCATGTGATGCCCAGGACAATTATGGGATTACAGGTAAAATCAAGCTGAGATAATAAACCATCTTTAAACCAAAGACTGTTATTAATTTACAAATCCTGGATTATTTATTCATATTTGTTCCACCTACTGTGGGGAATGAAAGAATTACAAATCCTATTTATTCATATTTGTTCCACCTACTGTGGGGAATGAAAGAATCCTGTCTCTGCAGTTCCAATCATCAGCAGGACCAGTAACCCTCATTAGTGCATATGCACCAACACTACACTGTACTACAGAACTTTAATGCTAGAGTTGGTGCTGATCACAATTATTGGCCCACTTGTCTAGGCCGTTTTGGCACTGGAAAGATGAACGAAAATGGTCAACGCTTACTGAAGGTTTGCTGTTATTATGGTCTTTTTGTCAGCAACACATTCTTTAATATGAAGCTGCAACACAGAGTTTCCTGGAGACATCCAAGATCCAAGCATTGGCATCAGCTTGATTTGATCCTCACTAGACATTCTAGCCTTCCTAGTGTTATGATCACACACAGCTACCAGAGTGCTGATTGCGATACTGATCACTCCCTGGTGTGTAGTAAAGTAACACTGCGAACAAAGAAATTGCATCACACGAAAAAGGAAGGAAGACCACGTATTGACATCTGCAAGACTCATGATCAAAGAAAAGTGAAGGAATCTGCCCAAGCACTTAAGGAAACCCTTCCAGGTCCGGCTAATGTAAATGCACCTGAATGATGGGAACAACTCAAGACCGCTGTGTATAACACCGCTTTGTCCACCTTTGGCAAGAAGACCAAAAAGATGGCTGACTGGTTTGAATCCCATTCAGAGGAGTTAATGCCAGCCATCGAGGATAAGAGAAGAGCTCTAACAGCATACAAAACCTGTCCTAGCGAGTACAACCTGTAAGCTCTTCGAGCCACTCGTAGCCAAGTCCAACAGGCTGCCAGGAGATGCTCCAATGACTATTGGCTTCAGCTCTGCTCTCAGATACAGATAGCAGCGGACACAGGTAACATCAAAGGAATGTATGATGGTATCAAGCAGGCCTTAGGTCCATTACAGAAGAAATCTGCTCCCTTGAAGTCTGCTACAGGTGTGATCATCCAGGACCGAGCACAGCAGATGGAACGCTGGGTGCAGCACTACTCCGAGCTATATTCCAGAGAGAATGCAGTAACCGAAGAAGCATTAAATAACATTGAGTGCCTGCCTGTCTTGGAAGAGCTGGACAGCGAACCAACCTTAGCAGAAATAAAAGCG